CAGCACCCTCTGGATTTGGCATGCATGCACGCACTGCACACCTACCAAGATCGTCTCTGATTCCATCCATGAGCCACTGGTAGGCAGCAATTTTAACTAAGTGGACTGTTTTAATATTTAAAAAGTATAGAATATTTTATGTTATTTTTATGTACGTTTCTTCACAAAACTATATTTAATTATAATTTTCTTTAAAAGTATATTTGTACAATTGAATATTTTGTACCAAGTATGTATAATTGTATATCCATCACACATTTTATTTTAACAAGTAGGTTTTTATAATTTTATTTTTAATTTTAGCCCTTATATTATAGTTACAATTTAGAATGTAATTACAATATTGAAAATTTATTTTTAAAAAGTTTTGGCTCGAGACCATATAATGAAAAAGAAAACATTATTGAAAGAGAAAGACCAATGCCTAAATTAAATATAAATATATCAATATAAAAATTTGTTTGACATTTTCACGATAAAATTTATGAAGACATAAAATGGCTTTGTGGGTGCATAAAAATGCAAAAATTGTTTTGCTAGCCTTGCCTATTATTTTCAAATGAAATTAGTGTGTGGAATAAGAATGGCTTTGACGATTTAAATAATTTTAGTAAAGCTGGCAAAAGACACAAAAATCATAAATCTCGCGTCGATTCTTTCGTAAAATTGAAGCAATTTGGAAATCAAAATAAAATAGAATTTAACATTAGTACTAATATAAAATAAATATTGAAAATTATAACAAGATAGTTACGGCTAATAGATATATTATATTTAAATTAGTAGATGTTATCAAAGCAAGAATTGGCATTTAAAGAGCATAGGAAATCTATTAAATTGAATATAACAGAGGTAGTTATATTAAACTTGCTTATTTATTAAGTGCATTAGATAATCTATTAATTAAAAATACATTTAGAGAAGTCTACGGTTTTTACTGGCTTATCGAACAAACAAATATGAATGGACCCTAGACCAGTGTTCCGCAACCTTCCGCATGGTGTGCCGCAGTGTTCTACTTGCGGCACACCATGACTCAACACGGCACACCAAAATGTTATTTCCCTCAAAAATGTATGATATGATACTATTAATAGAATTACATAATGCCACTAACCTATTATTATTGTTATTAAACAGACATCAACACCTGTGAGCAAGTTTTTTTTTTTACATATAATTTCTTAGAATACATAAAAATGCATAGCTTTTAATAAAAAATAAACAAACATCATCTTATTTCATCAATGCTGCAGCAGAGAATGAAATACAAGCATAAGAAACACAACAATTGTGATAAAAATATATAAATAAAACTTGAAATTAACAGAATATGTAAAAGTTCACGTCACACCTTTCACCATGTGATGGCACACCAGTTGCAGAACACTGCCCTAGACCATCACTGACTAACTGCCCCTGGAAGTTGGCTTCTTACAGAAACACAGCATCCCTATCATCAAATGTCATGGCACACCACTGTGCAAATAAACAATTATGATGTAAATAGGGAATATTCAAAGAATATATAAACAGAGAATAAGATAAACATTTTCTTGAGATAAAAAATAGAAATAATTTTGTATAAAGTCTATGATGATCTGTGTTCGAGATTTTCTCCACACTTATCTTGGGCCATTTGTATCACTGTATGATCTTTATCATTATCAAGATTTCATTAAAATTATTCACTATTCTACAAATTCTCTCTTAGTCTCACACTTCCTTTTTCTTATTGATTGATCATATAAGGCCATAATTTCAAAATAAAGGATATCTTTACATCTGAGCTGGTGTCCAAACCATTTAAGTTGACTTGTCTGTAGTACTGCAAGAAGAGATTTTTGATCAGATTTTATTAATACTCTCATGGATGTTATGTGATCTCTCCAGGTATAGCCCATCAAGTAATGCAATCAAGTTGTATTAAAACTGTTAATCATATTTTTCATTTTTACTGTTACAAGAAGTTTGTGAAACATTAAAAAACAAAACAACAGTATGGGAAGTTGTTTAAAGCCAAAATGACAGTGTACAGAAGTGTTATGGTTCTTACACTGATATATAGTAGTGAGATAGGTATAGCTGAAGAAGCACAGGAATCACATCGCTGCATGTGAATGAGATATTTGAGGAGTGTGTGTAGAGCTATGAGAAGAGCCTGTGTAAGGAATGGCAATATCATGGAACAATATAGTGTGGAAGAGAATGTCATACAAAAGACAAGCAAGTCTTCTTTAAGATTGATTACGTTGAGAGAATGAATGAGAAGAAATTACTAAAGATAGTACACTTGGAAAGAATACGAGAAAAGCAATACAGGGTGAATGTTGGAATCCTGGTTGGAGCAAAAGAATAAGCTTTTCAAAAAACAAAAGATTATGAGCATGAGAAATGATAAAGTGTGCCAGAAGAGAAAGGTGGCAGAAGCAAAGGAGGTATGCAGAGACAGGAGTGTCTAGAGCAGGGGGGGGTCACCAAACTTTTTTGATCATCAACCCCTTACAACTTTTCAAAACTTCACATCGACCCCATCAAAAAGTTTGTTACGAGCAAAAAGAAAAAAACTCTTACTATTTTAATACATTTCTTTTAATTTTACATTTTTTTACGTTTATTGTATATATGTGAAATTAAACGAACAGCAACTTAAAAACAGCTGTAGAGATGCTAATAACATCAGCGTACTGCAAATCAGACACAAGCTTATGAATGCTGCAGATGATTGACATGTACTATGTAAGTAAGAACCAGAGCATGGACTCTGTTTGTCCTGTGCAACTTGATCCGTAGCCATTTTACACATTGATGGGTAGTTGTACTATTAAATTCATTGAAACAATATTCAAAAACATAATAATATCAGTAGTTATATTTGTGATTTTTAGTTTCAATTTTTCAATCAACCCCCCAATAATGTTATTGATCCCTGGGGGTAGATATCAACCACTTTGGAAATCCCTGATCTAGAGGAATGTAATAAATAGATGAGTGTATTGTATGTGGATGCCTTGTGCTCACTGCCCACCCCTTCTTCAGAAATGGATGTGACAATGTGTTCTGTTCTTTTGTTTTGTTCAATCCTGATGAAGGTTAAACTGATTTAACCAAAAATACTAAAACAAGAATTAAAGTAACTTATATCTTAAAAAGTTGTTTAATAATACCCATTTTATCATCCTGTCATTGTTTCCAACTGTATGCTATTGTGTATTTTTTCTTTCATTCTTATTCTATGATTTTCATCAATACAGTCGACCCCCCTATAACACTGTTGATTATTCTGTTTTATATGAATTCCATGTTGTATGAGTCACTTAGATTTTACAAATATGTGAGCCATTCACAGCCCAGCACTCGTACAACATGGAATTCATATAAAATGGAATAATCAACAGTGTTATGGGGGGAGGGTTGACTGTACTTAATTATCCTACTTTTCCTATATGTATAGGAACTATCATATTATCTTCGAAAATACACAGGAAACTCAGTTAAAATTTTAAATGTAGAAAACTCTGAAGCCGAATCTTGTAAAAACAAAGTGTCAGAATATTTGGTACTACAATTATATTGTTAAGATCATACAGTGGCGTACTGTGGGTGTCAGCCGCCCAGGGCGGAGGAAAATTTTGTCCCTTTATTTAGGTATTTCAATTTAAAAGACCAAAATTCAGTTTTGTCACAGAACAAGCAATGAAAAATTTGCTTGTTCTGGTGGTAGTGCAGCGACCTGTCTAAAATGGTTCTATTGGATATTAGTGGTGTATATGAACAGGAATGAATCGTACAAGCAAAAAAAAAAAAGGTCAACAGGAGCCAATTCCCGGACTGTCCAGACGATAGCACTATTGTAGGCGCGATGCAAGTATAGATTAGGATGTTTAAAATTTTTACAAGATATTATTATTATTTATTGTGAAATTTTTCTGCCCCCTAAAAGGTAATTTTGCCACCCCTAAAAAGTGCCGCCCCCACTACGGTACGTCACTGAGATCATAACTATTAAGATTGCAGTTACTAAATGAATAAATTCATTAAACAATAATTTTAAATTTCTTTAAAAAAAAATTGCTTAAATTTCATCTTTTCTGACAAAAGACAATCATTTCATTTGTATGAATAACAAATAAGTTTTGGAGTTTTCAGGAAAAACAAAATTTTAACTGTTGTTACACTAACTTTTTTATTAAATATAACTTTTATAAAAATTACATCTAACAAAATAAGATTATTTTAAATTTTAAATAAGGAAGTATAAGTATTTTTATTAACTAAAATAAAAGATTCTCATTCATTCTATTATCATCTATTATTTTATCAATTTACTTCACTATTATTGTATTTGCTATTCAACAAAAAATATTTAATAATCACAAACTTTAATAATAATAAAAAGAATTTCACCATAAAACTACTTTATTCAGATTATGATATTGAAATCTTTTAAACTTTATCATATCCACAATTACTTATGTAATAAGTGAAATGATTAATAAAATTCTAAAATAATAAGTAACTTTTTAATCAAAAAGCCATCATTTTGCACGAAATAAGAAGGCCGGACGGCCAAGAAGCACTCCGGGGACCCGAGATTGACAGGTCAAGAATCCCCAGGAACTGTTCGGGGTGGCCCGTCCCTCGCCCTATTGTGAGCCCGGTTAACTCCATAATGGGCTTGCTAAAAAGACCCTCTTGGTGCCCACAGGGCGGAAAGTTACATAAAATTAAAAATAATAATAAAAAGTAAAGAAATTGATGATTTTTGAAGAAATTGACATATTAAACAATAAAATCATCGAAGGGCACGTTTAAATCAAAAGTTAAGGAAAAAAAATATCTCATTAATTAATATAATTTCGATAAATGATTACTAATTCATGTCTGAAAAAGTGATTACAGTTCGCTAGTATAGATTATTATTTTCTTTTTTCTATACTCGTTATTTTGAGAACGAAATTCGGTGAGTATTTTTACGTAATAATCTTGTTAGCATTTACCTTCTGCCATTTCGTCAACCAAAACAAACTTGATCTCAGCATTACAAATATTGCATCATTAGCGCTTGACAAAAAAAAGTCGTAGAAATTTATCCCAGAAATCGTCGAATTTCTCTGCTACGCTCTCTTCAAAATGATTTATAATTAATTTACGATAATAAATAATATATATTTTTCGTGTATAATTATGTCGCTTCCGTTAATAATTAATCCTGTTGTATAGAATATTTTTTAAAAATTTTATCTGGGGTAGAGCGGGCCCCGTTTTTGTTTTTTCTTCTTTTAACAAATGAAATAAAGAAATATTCTACGTATTAATAAAAAGCAGCCTTAAAGATTTGAATTTTGTTATAAAAGTGATATTAATTTATAGGCTTTTTTTTAAAAAAAAAAACTCTTTTCGTCCTGTGGGCACTAAGAAAGACTCTTTTAGCAAGTTCATTATGAGTTCGGTCGGGCCTACAATGGGGCTACCAGGTGGTGAGGGACGAGGCTCGATATATCCGGACAGACCACCCTCCGAAAGGAGATTTTTCGATCCGTCCGGATTCAATCCCGAGTCCCCCAGAGCGGCAGGCTGCCATCCGGCCAGATCGAAACCATAGTATCGCCTACATTCTGACAACTATAGAAACTTCACCAAGGACGATTTCAAAATGGGTATTTATCGTCGCGTCTTTCATATTAATATCTGAATACGATCTGCATTTCCTTCCTTGCCCAAAGTAAGTACAATATTATATGGCCGGATGGCCGAGCGGTCAAGGTGGCAGCCTACTGCTCTGAGGGACCCGCGTTCGAATCCGAACGGGTCGAAAAATCCCCAGGATATTTTCGGGTGGTGGTCCGTTCAGATATGTCGGGTCACGTCCCTCACCACCCGGCAGCCCTATTGTGGGGCTGGCAAAAACCCATAATGGGCTTGCAAAAAAGAGGCCTTCTTAGTGCCCACAGGAAAGAGTAAAAAAAAAAGTACAATATTACCATAGCAATTCCGGATAAAGAAAGCTTTTTATTTATCAGTAGCGTGCCGTCATTGGAAGCGGTGGATCGCTGCTTCCCTTGTATTTTCTAAAAATTAAATACATATTAATTTTAATTATATAAAAATAATCGCACAATATTTTATTATAACCGCATTACGTATCTTATTACAAATTTCTATACTACACGTGAAAAAAAAAGATCGCTATTGTATATTCGAATATCGGTGGCAGAGTGGAAGCGCTGTATCGTCAGCATCCAAAAGGCCAAATTCGCGCATTTGCTTTACAGAGCACCAACTTGACCCAGTTTAGCCGGTGGAAGCGTAGGACCTTGGGCGGATGCTACACGTATATCGCATCGAATTCTATCCAGGACCGGTTCCGGGCTGTTAGCCGCCTGCCCGCTAGATATTTGCCCGCCCTCGCCCGATTACGTGAATCACGAGTAGATTTATAACTTAAACCAACCGATAAGAATTTACTGGTATGTTTTTATGATAGTTCTGTATAGTTGACAGGACTTTAAAAAAATCCATTAAAATATTTGATATTTTTATTCCGCTCTCCGATTTTATATTACTCACGGATTTCAATGTTTAAACCAGTGATATTACGATTTCGTATATCCCATCTCTAAGGGGATGTAGAAAAAAAACGTGTACAATTCTTGTATAATGTTAAAAAATTAACTGTTACTTTGGTAGCATAATTTACAACTAAATTTAATGGATGAGAGAGATGCACGAGGTACAGAAAAAGCTCTAGAATTTATTTTTCCTTAAATTTACGATTTATGTATCCGTTTGTCATAAAAATTTGTCTTTCCACTTTTTTCCCAAGACTACAAATATTCGAGTACAAAGTAACCGGTTTCGACTTATTTCTACTTGAGAAGTAGTTAAATAATTAAGCAATTAGGGAATTGGGAACATAAACAAAACCCTGATGAAAGAACCGAAATTTTACTTAAACAAAAGCCTAACCGAACCAATCTCTAGCCAAGTATAGTGGGACTGATCTCTTTGAAATATTACTGTAGATGTAATAAAGACAGACATTTTTCCAGTTCAATGAGAGTGACCGAAAAGTTGTAAATTTTGGAAATTTCTGAGGACACTTGGTCCTAAAACGAATTAGTTAGAGAACAAATGACTGTTAAGTTTAACATATTTAGATTTTTACAGCTACGGTGAGAAACGTTTAAAATCTACAACAGCCTTGTCGTGTCCTTTGAGATATACTAGTGATGCGACAAAAGAGGTATTTGACATTGACCGGTATCGGCACCCTGGGGATTTGGCAGTCCGCGTGTATGCACGCACTGCAACCGTCTCTGATTCCATCCATTAGCCACTCGTACGGAGCTATTTGACTAAGTGGATTGTTTTAAGATTTAAAAAGTAAAGAATATTTTATGTTATTTTTATGTACGTTTTTCTATAAAGCTATATTTAATTATAATTTTCTTTAAAAGTATATTCATACAATTGTATTTTGTACCAGGTATGTATATCCACCACACATTTTATTTCACCGAGTAAGTTTTTATTATTTTATTTTTAATTGTAATCCTTATATCGTGGCTAGCGATTAGGAACGTAATTGTGATATTAAAAATGCATTTAGAGAAGTTTACGGTTTTTACTGGCTTATCGAATAAACGATACGAATGCAACCTAGACCATCACTGACGCGCAATTGACTGATTGCCCTGGATGTCGGCTTCTTACAGAAACACAACTTCCCTATCATCAAATGTCAAGGCATGCCACTGTTATTTATAAATTATCAGCATTAGCTCAATCCGAATGCGCTGGACTTTTTCAGAGGTTTCTGGATTGCCTCGAGCTCAAAGAAAAATCCTTTTGCAAGACCATTTTGTTCGGAAGATAAGGATTCGTGGCAGTCTTGCTAACCTGCGATACGTTCTTTAAAGACTGAATATATGCAAGATTATTTCAGCGATGTTGTTAAATAAATGTTTGTTTGTTTGTTTTATATTTGCAAGAAAATTTTTAGTGTATATATATATATATATATGAGTGACGAAGGGACCCTCAATAGAGTGTTGTTTTCGACTTTAATCATTTTAAAATTCAATCGTCTAACTTTCATCATTCTATCAAAAGCTAGGTTAAAATCCATAAACATTATTTTCCACAAACTTGTTTCCTTGTTGAGGATGATCCATTTAGTCATTATTGTGTTACCCGGAACTTCCGATAAATTTCAAGTATTGGATGCCAGACCCTTAAGAACAAACTCCTGACCTCATGGAAAAAACCCAAGAGGAACACAAAATAACATGGGAGGATGAAGACAAATAGAGTCAGTCGTCCTCCAACGTTTGCCTTCTCTGGGGTTTAAAAGTGTGCTCGAATACTGTGAATCTGTCGATATCCCCATGCGGATATCTTACCCGCCCAATTTCTTCGATTTATTTGCCACAAGTCAAATACCTCCCTCCGAAGACGCTCCTGTTATCCGATCAATCCGAATAGCAAGAACCTTCCATCGAACACCCAAAGAATCCCGACTGTGAATCATCCGTCTTCGATCCTCGACTTCTTTCTATAGTATTTATCTACACGCGTATATCCTGTAAACTCTCTCTTTCTCGCGACAGTTAGATTCGATAATCTAAGGATATATATATTAATTCAAGATGTCTATGATCGTATATCGTGTACACCTGCCTGCTAAAATAAATTTGTTATTGTTTATTAATATGGAATCAGAGTGAATAACTAACTCGTTTATCTCTCCTCACCTCTACTCCGAATCCAACCGCTTACCCGCGACCACTCGCGTGACGTAAAGTCACGATTTCCGAGTCCTGAGAGACTCGGTCACATCCTGACGCGGTGTCAAAGAGACACCGACCCTACGGTCACCTATATATAAATATATATAAAAAAGGTGTCCGAAAACTCTCCGTACAGTGACACAAATCAAACCAACTAGTGGACGAATATATGAAACCATTGTACCTTAAATTAATAGTTAGTTATTAGTTCGTGTCTGACCAACGAACCGACCAATGTGCAGTGTTCTGGAATTTTTACATGTGTCTAACACCTAAACAAAATCCAGTTTTCACATAGGAAGTCTTGCACACAGTTACTTATTTGACAGGTCACCAATATGATTTGTTGTATTTTACTGTCATCATCATCATCACAGAGGAGTGGTATAGCTCTCAGCTTTTCACTCCAGAAGAAACAGGAAGGAAGAGTCGGTCTTATAGAAGACGACCAATCCGAGGAAGACAGAAGAGAGGTCACTAAGTAACCAAAGCCGGTCTTATAAGAGACGACCCCCGCGAGAAAGGGAGACAGAATGCCTTCCGGGAGGACTTGGAGGGAAAGCTGGCCCCTATTCAGACGTCATTGGCAAGGAGGAAAACCCGAAAAAACTCCCGCTGCCAGCTCGTCCGAGTGAGGCGCGAACCTCCGATCGAACTCCGGTGTTTAGGGTCTGGTCACCACTATCAAGCGGAGACGGAGTCCACTCGGCCGCCGTATTTTACTGTCTGTCAATCCAAAGAAAAAATTTTAATGCTGAGGTTTCAATGTCTTGTGAATAAAGTTACATTTCACTTTCGTATGTATATAAACTTAGGCAAATCTGTGGGTATATATTCCAATATAGTAAAGAAGAAAGCTCACTTTAAATTATTTATATACAGTAGAACCCCTCTAATCCGTCACCTTTGGGACTGGGGGTGTGGTCGGAACGCAGAAAAGGTCGGATTATCAGAAAAAAGTAAAATAAATAATCTTCCCCTTTGTCCAGTCTTTGTAGCACTGCTAATTTTTCATTTATGAAAGAGTAACGTGTTTACGTTTCACTCCTGACATGTTAAAAACACACACAAAACTGTACATGTACACCCAATGTAAAACATATACTGTAACGAACACAGAAAAACGCCACGGACGGTGAGTCACCGACGAGTCGGGACAAGTTTCTCGACTCCGACCACGGTCGGATTAACCGGAGTGACGGACTAGCCGAGGGCGGACTAGAGGGGTTCTACTGTA